GGTTAGCAGCCCTGATTTTCAGAGGTTCTTACCATTCTTGAAACTCACATTTGAAAGCTAAGCCAAATGATCATGTCAATGATGAGAAAAATGGTATACACTAGGGTTAGTTCATACTGCCAGAGGTGAAACAAACAGTAAGAGCAAGACCCAGGTAATCTTCAGTGATGCAGGAAAGTGAGGGCGGCAACAGCCTTTTATTAACAGCAGGACCAAGTTTCAATATTTTTCGGTATCTATGTTTAAACATTACTGATTAGCGTTTGTTAAAAAATTGAGTAAAAATCCGTCCTCACTGCTTTTTGATGCAGTTGATGCTTGGCTGATAAAGGTAACACACTGACCTAATAGCTTTGCGTTTCCCTATGAAACTCTACTTATGCCCGCAGGACAGAATCACTTTTGAAACAAAGCACCATACTGTGGGCTACCTTAATTTGATAAATTATTAAAAACTGAAAAGTCACCTGAGTCAGTGGACAAATGTCACAAAGTAGTGGTATTTCTAGTAAGTTCCCATATTACTTTAGTCTTGGTTTTAAATTTCCTGATTAAGAAATGTAATTGCTTCATTAGGATTCCAGAGGAAAATATACAACCATAGATTGCAGCCATAGGTTGCATCATTCGTGGAAGAGAAATAGGCCACAAAACATGAGAAGGACAGGACCTCATCACTACGTAAACTGAGCTCATTAAAATCAACAAGTGGATTCACACAGTCAAATGGAAAGTTACACTTCTTGGAATACACTGTGTAGACCAGCCTTTAAAGATAGACTTATCTTGGAAACCACAACCAAAAAAGCTATCAGCAGATAACAGCTATCAGCACATAACTGCAAGCAGATAAGCTGCCAGCACCCAGCTCAGTGCTGTAGAGATTGTGATGGGGTATAAATAAGAATTCAGCATATACACAAAGAACACCGCACAGGTATAGTGAAGCAATGTTGGATGGGGGAGACAATTCAAGGAATACTGGGTGCAGCTCTGGTAACCACAGTTCAGAAGGATAGTGAAAAACTGAACCAGTGTAGAGAAAAGAGCTCCTAAGAGAGAAGCTGTAGTGCAGAACAGAGATCAAAGGCCTGAAAGAATTTATGTTCCATGGACCACAGTACACACAAGTCGGACTAGATACATAGAACAGTGCATCCTGAACACAAGCTAAATGTTTACCCTTCCTCAGAAAAATAAATTTGTATTTAATGTTTTGAACATTTTTTTTCCAGTTTTTTCATAAACTACCTGTAGTAATCTGGAATTTAAAAGTCACTGAAATATATCATGGAACTTGAAAAAATGAAATGGAAATAGCATGAATATGGCAAGTGGGCCAGATGAAAAACATACATGTACACATTTCCCACATAAGCAAAGAAACAAACAGAATGGGGGGAAAAAAAAAAAAACTAAAGCCATATACAAACATTCACATTCAAAGTCTTTTTTGGTCATAAAGGAAAGCTCTTGCAGCAGCACTGCAGAAAATGATTTATGGACTTTAAAAAAAAAGATGGAGACTGAGAAAACAGAATGAGAAGCAGAGATGTATGGGACTTCTTCCCTTCTGTTTTGCAGGGGGGATTACAGTCTGATGCACTACACTGAATTCAATTAGTTCTGCAACAGCATTCAAAAATCTTTAAAGATCTGATATAAAAAAACCTCAAACAGGTTTTCATTCACAAGCTAAAGACAGAAGTGATTTAAAACGGTGTCCAGAATCAGTATGTAATCAAAGAGTACTTTTTAATTTCCTATGTGGGTCATTTCATTCCCCACATATCACAAGGAGTTATACTGACATTTTTAATTGCTGTTCTCGGGCATTGCCAAAAAAAGAAGAAAAAACCCAAAACAAAATAATACACTTCCCTTTGTCCTTTCATTTTCCTTTGTAATCCTTCACTTACAGCGTTGTCCTGTTAAGTGCATTTCTCATGTGAAACGGATTCAGAGGACCAGCAAAACGGCTCTTAACAGTCAGACCCCTAGTTCCAAGAATCTAGATTTGTTTCTGTTTGGTAAACAGTGTCTAGGGTCTGCAGGGGTAGAAACACTCAGACATCTGGTTTTTTGAAACGGAAAAATGAAGCGTGAGGAAATAATGAAGTACAGACTTTCTTAATAGCTGTGAGCAGTGGGACATTCCAGCATCATTAACTCTTTCATTAACCTGCTGGCTCAGTCCTACAGACATTCTCTTGTGTGTGACTCAAATCCATTTTACTTGTTAGTCTACTTGTTTCAAGAGTTGCCGTTCAGCAGTAGGTTTCGTATAATAATAGACACCAAACAAGCAAGCAATTGTACACATGGATTGGAAAAGGGTACAGCTAAAAGAACTGAGTATTCGGCTGAAAAACTTTCCATGCTATTAACAACCAGGAAAGACTTCAGTGACTTGACTGAGGCTAATTAGATCAAAACCTTAGTGGGTAAAATGGGGAAGAAATGGTCTCTAATTACAGCCGAATACAATACAGCCTCATGTGGAATCTCCATTCTGAAGCAACCTACTTTACAAATTGGGTGCTAACGTAAACTAAGCTGCTTCTTGCTAGGCTTCAGAAAGTATATATTGATTCTATCTCCTGGCAATGATTAACTCTTGGATATATCCATTTTAAAAGTACTAAAGCTTTAGCAACAGACGACATCCCAAGGGCAGCTATTGTTCTATTAACTCTAAGAAGGGAGGAGTAGCTAAGTTTGTTGTAAACACTGCCATTGCAGCAGGCTAGCAGAGCAATACAGATACTCTGTACTTCAGTCAGGATTCAGCAAAAGTGAGACTTCTTATCTACACAGATTTTTTTCTGCTCAGAGCAGTTAATGAGCAGAGCCAATTGACACAAGTGTTTCTAAAGCACGTCTTCTACTAGTAGTACAAAACACCTAAAAAAAATAAATCAGAGAGGCATACATGAAGACTAACAAAACCTGGCAGATCCCCACCCACTGAAACAGTAGATACGACAAAACTCTCCAAAATATTTTGTTACTACCATTAAAGCTGTGACATGGAAAGATCCTCATTCAAGATACAATTGTGTTAGGTATGGAAAATCAAGAAGCGTACAGGATAAGCAGCAAAAAGTAACATAAAGCTACTACAAAATAGTACACTCTGCTTAGCAGCTTAGTAGACACACCAACCACTGCATGTGAAAAGGTGTTGTTATCAACAAAAAACCCCACTTAAATATGCTATCACATATACTCAGAAGAAATTAACTGTGTCCTGGTAATGAAGTTAATTGGTTGAATCAAGTATTAGTCTACCAAACCACATGTTTCAGCTACAAAGGGGATGTGCCAGACATGAAAGCAATATTTCTGCGTCTACAATTCTGCCTGAAGAACTGGAAGCTTTCAGGTTTGATTTTGCTTCAAGTTATTCACATCAAGTTTCTCCTCTAGGAGGAATAATCCTGGTTTTATCAGCTGGTTGGTTAGCTAAGTATTTTGACACAGGTCAGAAACACTAGGTCATTTTTCATTCATCCGGCGTTAAAATGAAAATACACATGGGTATTCATGCATGAAGAGTTAGTTAAAAATAATATTGAAAGACTGACAAAGTGGCAAAAGCAAGAGCTTCAGAATTAAACAGTGCAAAACCTCCTACAATTTACCTATGATAGAAAAGTCTACAAGCGCTGGGTGATTTGATGTAACACATGTGACACAATGTAACACATTGTTGAGCACATGATGAAAAGTCATGTAAATATGATGTAAAACCAGAAACAACCTTGTGATTTTTTTATGCCTTTCCTATGAACAATCCTTTGCCTTTTTATTTTTAAGACATGAGTATCCAGTTGGGCAAAAAAAAGTCAGAACTCCAGAATTAGGGAATATAGTGGCAAAAGAAAATATTAAGTTTCAGCAACGCATCAGGTAGTAATATTGTGCCGTGCAGACAATCACTTCTAAGCCAGCACATCCACTATGAAAAAAACCAAACCCACCTCAGTTTTGAATTATCAAATACTTTGGACATCATTAAGACCACAGTACAGAAGCTGAATTATAAAGACCGCTTCCCTCCTCAGTCATACTGCTTCCTGCTTTCTTTCCCTTTAGCCCTACGCCTTTCTTATCCCTGGCTGCACAGTTTGAGTTTCAGTCTGTTGACAGGTGCAGGGCCTTTTGCTCAACAGCAAGAATCTTAGAGGCAGGAGAATTGGGTTTGAATATACTCAGAAGTCAGGGTTCATTTCCTGGATGAGAGCATTCACCATTCTGCAAAACCTGAGTGCTGTCCCATAGGTTTGCCACACTTTTGAATTAAAGTAACTGTAACAATGCTACTTTGTGCCTCAGTGTTCCTTACTTTCTTTTTTTAAGCGTACCTTCTAGGTCAGGAGTTTTATACTTCAAGGGCCAAACTAGAATGCAAGAACAGAAGTGTGGGAGGGTCAAGAACTTTCTGCTAAATAGAGAACAAGCTGGATAAATACAGAAACAACTAAGTGCTAGTTAGAAACTGGAGTTAGCCTTTCTGGACTCTAGCTGGCTGTACGTGGCATGTAGGCATCTAGATCCCACTGACGACCACAGTGCAGGTACTTTCGTCTCATCCTTCACTTTTTTCCTGTAATTGTTGCATTTCATTTACATCGCCAACGGTTCCAGATGTTTTATGGTTAGTGACTACTGTGTATGCAAAACAAATCAGTTTGTGGTCAAACCTTTATATAAGGCAACTTCAAAAGATAGTATCAGCTTGGGCCTGAGAACTACAGGGGACAGAACAAACAAAACATGAAATGGGACATTGAATAGGATATTATGGAAAAGTGATAAAAGTCAAGATACAGATTTTGACACAAGCTTGGTGAAGTTCAAAACTTCAAAGATTTGAGAAAGAATAAAGACCCCAATAAGACAATACACAATTTGTTCCAGAGAGGAACCAAATTAACATATCCTCCAATTCCCAAATTATATTTCTGGTCCAACTTTCAAGAACTATAAAATTTTACCTCCTAACACACACCGGAAACCATCCCCACGATAACCTGCCTTACACTGGCAGCTGAAGGACCCAGGAGTGTTGTAGCAGAAAGCATCTGGATGACAGTGGCCCTCTTGACATTCATCTACATCTGTAAAAGAAAAGATCGATCTCAGATAACTGTTCCTCCTGATGGACAAATCAGAGTGATGAATTAAATTGCAAACTTGCTGTATTACTTTCAGGCTCCTATTTAAGGATACCCAGTTAGAATTATAGACCTTTGGAAGAACGTCTATACAGAAATGCAAAGGAGAAAAAAAAGCATGCACGTATTTCAGGTTCTGGCTCTCAGCAAATCCCTGCACTCTGGTATTCTGATAGGTAACTAGGATTGTTAACTCGTACAGTATTTTAGAAATATATGCCCTTGTTTCTCAAGGAAAAGGCTTAACACAGCAAGAGAAGTAGGATTTGGCCCGCAAGGTTTCCAAAATTAACTCAGGTAAAGCTGCTCCCCCACTGCACTCCAACTGACATGAAACAGAATATAACTTTTTTTATGCAGTCTCAGCATCATGTGTCACCAGCTTAGAAATATAAACCAATACAGTGCAAACAGTTCCAGCAGATGAAGATCTGGTCTGCTAACTGCAACTGCTGCAATTTTTGCATTTACCTCATCTTGGACCTCCTGTAGCTCAAATATTGAAGGGTGAATTCAAAAGTGAGGGGAGGAAAGGACAAAAGCTTAATGCAATGCCTGCCTGAGGGACTTCAACTATGAAATTTCCTACTTTAAATCACAAGTAACTACAGGACATTGCAATGACCAGCTAAGTTGTCCAATAAAAACCCCACAACAAGTGGTGTTACCCACCCTCACAGGCACGCCCATCACCAGAGAAGCCACGGAGGCATGTGCAGATGTAGGCGGACCCTCCGGTGTACACACACTGAGCGCGCTGAGGAATGTCACAATCGTGCGTGCCTGTCTGGCAACGGTTTACGACGTATTCAACAGCTGCAGGTTAGATGTACAAGAGAAAATTGAGTTTTATTCCGCAAAGTCTGAAGCTCATAGTAAGTTTATAGGGAGAGAGGAACAGCTGTGAAAGCATACAGAAGAGAAAGGAAACAAGGAAACGGAGTTGTTTGTTTTGGGGGTTGGGATTTTTTTTGCCAAGATCTCCCTTTTCACTAGTGTTAAATCTTCTTATTAATGTTTTACAAGGAACTGATTGTCCTCAGCACCTCATAGATATTTGTTAATATAGAACAGGGCAGAAAGGCTACCTCAGTGACAGATCCTAATATCCATGACAGTTTTGCTTATAAAAAGGAGTCCTGGATGAAGAAGTGTAAGGCGCCTTGCAGAGGTACCTCGCATGTTGGCTAAGCGGCCAGTTCGCTGCAGTGGGAATTATTAGATATCCCGCTACACTAACCGAGCACTGACCCAGGGCTGCCGTCACTTGGCAACAGATGGGAGCTGTGACTCACTCCACGGGACATAAACACATTTGTCAACTATGGGAGAGATTTTTGACCAACAGTGGAAGCTGGCACCAGTCCTGCAGCTTTTCATAATTTTCTCATCGTTGACAGCAGTGACTCTGAAGGCATTGCACTGCGTTACACATAAGTTATTTCAGGTAGTCGCTGGAGCCCTGCCTGTGCTTACCTGTTACGTCAGAGAAGAGGAAAGGAAACCATGGTATTTAAAGTAAGAAGAGGCAAAATACTACAAAAATTTTGGGCCTGGAAATACATGAGTTTGCAGTCTGTACATCTAGGAACAGACTTCCAGCTGCTGTAGCAGAGAGTCCACTGAGGCTTTCTTTACACAGTTCTTACGAGGAGCTGACGGGGGACCAGGACGAGACTCTACAATGCTTCTTTCATCACAGTACACAGATGAAAACTGCCACAGTATCAGCAGGGAAATATCAAAAGTCTGCCATCAGGGCCAGATCTGAAAACAGTTGTTTTTTCCATTTCTCTGGAGGAGATGACATCATTGTTAGAATCATATATATCTGTTCTGTTTGATGAAGTTTTAGATTACAAAATAATCTATTCAGAACTGCATTATAAATGCGTAAGATGTAGAGTTGGAGCTCAAAGGGAGTCCCCAAGTCCTCCTATTCCTCAGCCTACAAATAGGACAACCATAGAATCATAGAATCATTAAGGTTGGAAAAGACCTCTAAGATCATCAAGTCCAACCATCGACCCAACACCACCGTGTCCACTTTACAACTCTTCTAAAGCTATCCAGCGAGTCACACAGCTGGTATGAAAAAGCTGCAGTTCCAGAAAAGCTGAGTCAGAGCTGGTATCCCAGAGCAAGCTGCAAAAGCTCGAAGAGGGTAGCTGTTGCCCCTTCTGGGGTTCACGTTGTCTGTGGGTTTTATAACCTCCACCCTCCCCTGTAGAAAGGGGAACAAGATTACCGTGACATTTATTTTCAATCAGTTGGGAAACCAGAGTTCATCTTCCCTTCTCTTCAGTCTTACAGATGCAAGGTCTGGTTTTGATTGAAGGAAGGGATCAAACTGAAGTCCTTCAAGCTGGGCAAGGAATTAACCTAGCGCTTGTTAGAAGTGTGACACATCAACTTGATGGGAAAGTGGTAGAGTGAAGCCAGTGAGGTCATGGCTGGAGGGAAGAATGTTCCCTTTCAGGTCCAAGTGACAAGAGGGCAGTGGTGGACATAATGCCACACTTCCACATCTCACCCTATCCCTTCCAGTGTCCTGGTAGAAGAAGTTACTTTTTCCAACTGTTCTGCAACAAAGGGGAGACTTAGGGTGCACTGTGAGCCGACATGAAAGGTAATTCTTACTGGAGCAGAGAAATGGGGCTCGTGATGGAACGTAATACACAGCATGCAAAGTCACACACTTAAGGGAAGTAATGCAACTTTCTGCTGTAAGATGAAGGCTTCTCAGTCTTAGCTGAAGAACAGTCTCAGCTATAATGAGGAAAGACCTGAATGCATTAGCTGATCAAAGGGTAACTAAGCTTCCACCACAAAGCAGTCACGACAGGAGCAAATGTAATCCTCAGCTGTTATCAGTTATTTCCAAAAGAAACAGGAACTGGTCCAACCATACTGGAAGAGTGTGTACAGGTTTTGTCAGTACAGAATTACCCTCAGGTTGCAAACAAAGACAAAAATTCTAACTAAAAACCCAAAAAACTAATCTATATCCTATCTTGACAGTTACAGCTCTAGCAGTAGAGTCATTACCCCTCTTCTGTCTGCCATTTGTAGATTTTTTTATTTAGCTTTTGATATTTGCAATATAAATGACACCCAAAAGAATCATCTTAATGTTCTCAAGGACAAAGCTCATGGTTTTTCTTTCTATATGGAAAATTCACTTTTGACACACATCCTACACAATCATCTTGCAATTCTGCCAGCTACCAAATGGAATTTCTACAACTTTAGTGAAAAACAGAGCAAACAGAAAAAAAAAATCTCTCGTTAGGACAACCTTAGTCCAGCAAGTACAGATTAACTCAGGCTTCCTACAGAAAAAAGTTTTTAAATTAAATAAAAATAACTAGTTCAGTGACAACTACTGAATTTGAAGTTTTAATGGTCCATTAACAAACCAGCTAGATTTCCTCCAAATCTCAAAGATTTTAACAGTGATATAATTTGTATTTATAATTCCTTTTCAGCATGATTAACTATCACTTCAGAATAAGCCAACCAAGACACACTGATTTAGACCTGTGCACTGCCTTATCCAAGGGATGAACCTGTAACTAAAATCTAATCTGTTAAATCCAATTCTGGATTAGATATAAGAAAGAAACAAAACACAAAACCCCAAAACGCCAAAGCACAGGACTACAGAAAATGCAGGAAAAGCCCTACCTCATCTTGAAAGTGAGATGTTGTGAAATACCAACAAATTAATAACTGCTCATTTTAGTTCTTCTTCTTTTACAAATTTGAATTTTACTTCCATGTGAAATCTACAGCTAAATAATGGTACAGAAAGGACAGAAGCATTCAATAATTATTTCCACTTTCTGTTTGGAAACATTCTGAATGGGGAATTTTTATGAGATGAAAACAAAGTACTTTAGGCACCTTCTTTGGTTACCTAATGGATTGTAATCACTAACTGCAGCATGAACTCCTAAATTCAACTCACGTTAGAAGTCAGCACAGATCCTAGAAGCTCTGTTTTCTGTCTCTGAGATGAATCACAGCCTGAAAGCTGCTGGGCAGTGCTTTTAAGAAATGTGAAACTCACCAACACAAGTCCGCCCATCTGCTGCAAACTGGTATCCTTCAACACACTCGCAGCGGTAGGTTCCTGGCTGGTTATTGCAGACTGCATTGCTGCCACATAGAGCTGGTTGCTCTGAGCATTCATCAACATCTAGAATATTATAAGGATTCCAGTTATTACAGAGGTGCCTTTAATACTGATGCCAGAAAAACAGAAACTGTGCAACTGTTGAATAATAGCAGGCTTGCATATTTAAACCACATCTTGGATAGACCATACCTCTTAAGAGATATTAGTAACCTGAAAATAAGTTTTCAGGTAACTGTGTCCTCAGCTAATCTGCACCAGAAAAAACCCAGAAGAGGTTCTATAATGGAGTAATAAGGGGAAGGGACAAGAAATCAGAGGGGAAGGAAGAGCCACTGAGAAAGAAAATGCAGCCTACAAGGTGATCAGAAGCAGTGATGATTACCGGGGAAGCATGAACTTTAGGAAAGACTTCCCCTTTCATTATCGATATACATCTCTAATCCACTGCTGCTCAACTTGCAGCACAGACTGGGAGGGACAGTGTGATGCTGTTGTTTTCATTTGCAAGTTGATTTAAGGGTTGGAGTGGGTGGGAGGGTTGTGTTTTGGGTTTTTTTATTAAAAAAACCCAACTCAGTTAACTAATAGGGATGATGCATATTTCATTAATACACACTTTCACCTCTTGAAAACAAGTATTTATGCTGTGATTTGATTATAAAACAAAACCCAAATACATTAAGGATACAGAGCTGTGCAGAGCTGGGAAATAAGTCTCCTTGAACAGAAGGGATTTTCAAAGCAGCTCTTGAAAAAGATTATTTCAATGGGTTCCACATATCTGTGCTCTGTACATATGTGCAAATGCCATTCCTCATCTCCTTCAAGAACTTTTAACCTAGTTGACTCATTTTAACCAGAACTTGCATTACAGTAAATTTCTCACAGCAAAGTTCCCACAGGTTTTATGAAAGGACAAACTGGGTAGGAAAGATGCTTTGCAAGCTAAGAAAACATACCCAAGTTTGACCCTTCAAGACAAACTTGTTTGCTATGATTATTGAGATACATCAGCCACCCCAGCATCCCTCTAACCTATCTTTCCCAAAACCAGTCCCTCAGGACAGTTCATTTTGCTGGAATGGCTAGTCCTGAGGGTCAATACATTCCAAGAAAAACAAATGCTACATTAGCTGTCATTTTGTAATGAAAGTTCTCTGGTACCATAACAAGCTTTTCCATCTCCACGGAAGCCAATCGAACATTCGCACACAAAACGATTTCCAGTTCCTGGACGACATATCGCATTGGTGTCACAGTTATGGGTACCCGTGTAGCAAGGATTCCGGTTAATATCAGCAGAACCATCTGACGAGAGAGACCATATTTAGCCATGACAGCTCTATCCAAGTAATAGCACTCAGATAAGGCCCGGAAGGAGGTTGCTTGTAGTACATGGGAAACAAGGAAAGAGAATACTTTTTGCACCAGGAAGAAGGGGACTTGCAGGTGATATGCAGGACATGAATCCCAGACACAGCAATAGCACCTGTACTCCTTGTTACTTGTGCAAAGGACTGCTGAGTTAAAAAAAAATAGAAAAGCCACAAAAACCTCTCTAAAGAGCAAGACTGACAAACATAATGCATCTTCTAGCCACTGACACTAGACCCAAATTGCGATTCTTAATAGCTTGGTTTGTTCATTTTAATTAGTAGAACTTTATCTTTGTAACAAACAAAAGTGAGCACAGTCTTTTCTTGTACTCATCTGGTGTGCATTTTCAAATTGCTCCTTTACTTTTTTCTGGTTTTAGTGTAAACAGACAAACTTGGACAGCTCATCCAAAAAAACACACTTCATAGGCTGCCTATCTTCCAAAGATAAAATGCCATGTTTCAAGATAAATCATAGAAACTAGCTGTTTCAATGGCAAATCTTATTCCCGTCTTTTGCCCTTTGCTCTGACAGTACCAAAAAATTCATTTATATAGGAACTAATAATCAGGTAAAGATAAACGATACGCTCCATGTATCTGAGCAGCAATAGATTCAAGGTGGTACGTTGAGAGTATTTCAAGGAATTAGACACAAACTCCACTGAACTTCAAGATGAGATAATCACTTAAATACTCTTCCCCAACTGAAAATGCAAACTTTCAACAGTCCCATTTCTCTTAATTGGTAGACCCAGACTTCTACTGACTAATGCAACAAATTAATAAAACTCATTAATTTAACCCAGCTAAAGCAGGCTAAAAAAAAAAATATATAGAAGCCTGCTCTTAATTACTTACAAAAGAGAAAAAGAAAGATTTCCAATTCATACATACCACTGATTGGGCCGATGGAATTACTCATAGCATATCGCAGAATCTGCTCATCTCGGTTATACAGGACAAACACACTGTCCACTGAGAGCTGCTGTGTAGCAGCAGCAGCGTGGTGAGAGTCGTCATGAATGCATTCATCAAACGAGATGGTCTGTCGCCACTGATAGGCGCCCGTGTACGTGGAAGCAACCCCATCCCTTTCTGGCTCTGTCACTGTGTACTCCCTGGTGGATGATGAAGTGATCACTGCAACATGGCAACAAACACGCTGATCAGAACAGAGAGCGAAAATACTCCGCCCAATGCTATCTCTAGACTTGGGATACAGGCTGAGTAGTGTAAATAAAAATTTCAAAGGCAAGAAGCTACGGAAGTGGATGTACTTCCATGCAAAGGAATAGGCACTTGACTGGGCTTACTCTGTTCTCAGATATAACAGCCTTGAGGAACGAACCATATAATTTTTCTTGACTTATTTTAAAAATTTAACTTTACTTTGTGGGTTACCAGGTAAAGAAAGGAACATTCAACTCAGGAAACTCAGAGGTTTCCTTAGATGAATTTACATAGTGGATCTATAAGCTAAGAAGGCCAAAAGCCACCTCACCAGCACCAAACTACACCCCCTTTTAGTTCATTGTGGTCTACTGGCCTCAGATTTTGACAGTGTCCTGAAGAAGATGCATGTCTGAGAGCTCTTGTCTGCTTCACAACAGTTTTCTATATTGTGAAAAATTGTGACCAAAACTCTTCAAAGCAGATCTGGGCTTGTGGATCCTCCCAGCAGAAAGCTCCTCAGAACTCCACTGTTCTTCATATGGACACCAGAACACACCTGTATCAATCCACTTGCAACAGTTGGCAAAAGCTGGATTTCTGCTAAGTAATGGTCTACCAGATACACCATAGGACAGCAGAAGAATAACTATTTCAGTACTGGAAAAATCAAATCCAGCCTGAAGGATGCCTCCTTCCAGCCCCTGACTTTTCCTCCATGGGGACAGCACTTCTGCCAAGAAGGCAGGCGTTCTACAGAGCACGCACTGCCCAGACAACTCCTCCAAAACTCTGAAGTTGTTCAGCACAAAGCAGAAGCTTCCTGCTGCCTCCAGCTCCTCCTCCTCTACAACAACAGGCAAAGCAGCAAGAGGGGTTCATCACTGGCTACCAAAGCCAGACATTAGCAGATATAAGGCAGTGATGATGCAACTACACCATTTTCAGCTCTCTCTAGCAATCAAAGTGTGCCCTTGAAGCAAAGTGCACTCTCTCCAGTATTCATGTGCACCTAGGTGCACCACAGGCTGCTTCCTCTTTATTGCTTTTTGACAGCTGGGCTGGCCAGCAGCAACACTCCAACCTCACTTTGTTTTCGCTGTGTTGAAACACCCATAATTTTATCCAGGAAGAGGAAAGCAAAAGAAGGGAGTTTCCCCTGTAAATAGTGAAATGAAGAATGGCTCTCTTAAACCTCAGAGTCTGAGATAAGTGAGAGAGAGAAAGAGAAGGAGAGAAGTACTGAAGAGACAATGGAGGAAACCGATAAGGGAATTAAGAGGCTCCTAATTTTCTGGTCAGTTCAAATTCAGCTCAGATAACACTGACAAATGCTTGTTACTAACACAAGGCACAGTCATTGCAATGCAGTTTACATGACACATACTGGTAAATAACCGGTTTGCACAGTCTCATCGGACAAGACTAAAGCCCACTTAATGACATTACCACAAAAAGGTATACACCAGTACAGCTCCTACCAAAGAGCTGTGGACCCTACAAAAAAGCTTTGCAACTTGTACAACTGCCATCAGCAGTGTAAAAATAAGGCCAATGGAAGGGTGTTTTGCATCAGTTCAGAGAAAGTTAAACTCACATTTTTTTCAATAAAAAGATTAGCAATATTTGCCTTGTCCCACTCAAAATCCACCCTCTTTTGGGACTTGTTCTAAAGAGGCAAAAAGCAACTTTCTATAAATCCAAGGATCCTAAGTACACTCGCTAAGAAGGGAAAAAAATAATGTTTTTTGGATTGTCTTACTCACTGCTTTGAGAAATGTGCGCTTTCTTATAATTTCATTCTTAGGGAACCTTACCAGAACTAGAAGTGTGATAGAGTTCAGTGTATGGTTCTATATGGACTGATGCACCAGATGGGATCTCAGGTATTCTGCCCTCCATTTCTGTGCTGATGGTAAGGTGACCATGCTCATCAATGCCACTGAATCTCTGCTTTACAACCAGCTTCTCCTTGTTGCCAAGAAAAGTTACTTCAGTTTGCCGTGTAAACTCGCCACCTAAAGAAACAGTATTAGTTAAACCACTTAATAGCAGTTTCTGAATCCTTCTGTTCAAAGTATTGCTTCTAGTAGATAAAATATAAATTACTATTTTTCTGCAAGCTTTGATGCAGCATATTTGCTAATGTTTTGGGTTTCTACAGAAATAACTTTCAGAGGTATACTGATAATATTCTCGGATACTGCAAGGAAACTATCTTTTCTTAAGCACTGAGCACGCTAAATTGCAAGTAAGCCTGCAGAAGCAGGTTTCTTTTAAATTAAAAAGTTCCAACAAAGCTAATAATAGCAGGCCTTATCCTACCAGTTAAAATGGCAAAGCAGTTGTACGCTTTAGAGAAAACCTCCATTAGGAATACAGTGAGTTAAAAAAACATTTAAAAAAATCCAGTACATCTGTTTCCAAATCAAAACCAAGTGAAATGTATGTTGTAAATTCCAGAACAAACTTCAAACACACCAAATCCAAGAAAACTCCAAAACTAAAAGTTATGTTTGACTAAATTCATAGTACAGGGCTGTAAAGGATAAAATTTTAAAAAGAAACACATGTTCTCCTAGAACAGATTGGATCTACAGCTTGAATTCATGTGCACAACCAACCAGCTTTGGCCTCAGACTCTCATGAAAAGCTGTAATTGTGAACTGGGGTTTCCCTCACATAAGTTAACAGGATCATTTGCATCTCATGCAGGAATTGCTTCTGTTAAGAATTTCAGACCTTCATGAGGTCAGATTTTCATTTCTCTTTTGCTCCGTTAGTACAATCAGGCAATTAACATGTTAGACCTCTTGTAGATGTAGGGGCAGCTTTTTTCAGTAGTTCTGTACACTCTAGTACCAAAAATCAGATCCTTTTTAATAATATCTTTCTTGCACAGAAACTGGCCAAGCCATTCTTCTTTTTAACAGACTTACATGCTTGTGCACTGACGGTAAATTAAACAGCCCAATATCTACACATTGTAAACAAGAAAAATGGCAAGAAGTTTGATTACAAAGCAATCCATTTACAGTTCAGAATAAACATGCTTTCATCCTATATTGCTTCTAAATACACATTTCTTTTCTCTCAAGACAGAGGAAAGCATAGCACAGTTTTTGAACATTATTTTAATTTAGAAGTTACCAGTAACACTGAATCCATTTTTATATCCTTGCTGTTCCACAGCAAACATCCATCCTATGATACCTCCAATAGAGGCAAGAGGCAGTAACGAATACCCCAAAGTCTCTGGGATTGTGCTGATAGCGGTGTAGGCACGCCCTTGGTTCATCACAACATAGGAATGGAGATCAGTGTTCTCGAATATAACTGGAACGGGGTTATTTCCTACAAAGATTCTTCCTTTGACCTTCCCGTTGACTCTCTGAGGAGAACCTGGCAAATCAATACAATGCATCATAACAAAACGACAGTTCTCACATACTCTCCAAGGAATGTGTTCAGAGCGCTCGCTATGTTCAGAGATACTAGTGTTGAAATAAATGGCAAACAAATGCTCACAGAATTCAACAGACAGGAAACTGCCGACAAACAGTGTGTTAATTTGCTTACATATGTATGTGCATGTGTGTGTGTTGCCATTATACAGATGACTAAGTGGCCACAATTGCCTGAAGAGATGCCCTTTACCCTAATTAACAATTTTGTCTGCAAGGATAACTGCATAAACAGACTAAGCTGTTGCAGTCTCTCTGACAGTAAGTGGCATACAGAAACTTCTTTTGAAGATCACACTTCATATGAATACCTACTGAATGTAAATTTATTCATTCCCTATTAGAAGGCTAACACCATGAGGTGTTAGAGTAATTGACCTATTATTCTAACCTACTCTATTTCTTAACTCAGAACTATTGACCGTTTTAAGACTGTCCATGTTTTACAGAAGTAGTTACTTTGGATTGCTAGTTTTCTTCTGTATATAATTTCCTATGTGCAAATTCAAATTCCATTATCATCGGATCCTTCTTTTCTTTCTCTGGAAAATTCAATTTTATGAACTGAAAGCTAAGTAGTAGGTTTTGCTTTCCTGCCTCATAAAACACAAAGTCTGCAGTCAGCTATTTTAGTTGCTGAAACGCATCTATACTCTTGAGTCAAGTCACTATGAGGAGTACAAGTGTATACATAAGAAATTCCTTTATGGATTTTACACAGGAACAAAGTTTAAATGGGTATCTAACAAAAATCTGGCAGATTAGCCCTTTACTAAAGAAGCTTAAGAGTGAGACAAAAAGGAGCCATGCTCTTTACTTTGATGATCAAAGTTAATTTGTTCATCCCCTTTGAACTGTCCATTTTAGAGTGGCGACCAAATCAGATTTCAAGAAGCTGGAAGTTGACAACTAATTCTAGCAATAAACACTGGATGTTACGCTATTACATGATGTCAGTTATGTAAGCATTTATTTTTTCTAGAAAGTCATGTTAAAATGCATAATGCATATAATTGACCACCTAAAATAATTTCCTTCATTCCAAAACCCACACCATCTTAGAAAGCACAGCTCACTTCTTAAAATACTTTTCAATACATCTCAGTGATAAGTCTTTCAAGAAGTATTTAACCACATGGCTTTTTTAGTATTGAAAACAGGTCACGTCATTCAAGAATGCCATGTGCAACTGCTGCATATGTACTCAATTTTCAAAAAAGTTACCTTCTGCTACACATTGTCTGCCATTTCCTTTGTAACCAGCAATACAACTGCAACAAAATCCATTGGGATAATCTTTGCAAATCGCATGAACAGAGCACTGGTGGCGGTTGTTAGCACAGGTCTGTTGGACATCTGTGTGGTAGCGAAACACTGTAGAAAATAAGACCAGACACACGTCATGTAACTACTATCGTATTCACATATCCCTGGTTTAGATTAAAAATATCTCTAGGCTAACTTGATTAGTTTTTTTCATTTGCTCTTTAAGGAAAACAAACAATTGCAATTGATTTTTGCTAACCTTGCAATATGCAAGTAACAGTCTACTATTTTGCAGAAAACATCAGGGCTTCAGATGTTAGAAAACTGTTTAATTCTTTTGATTTCAGCAGATCTATATTATATAGATCAGTTAAACTGTCTTGGCAAAACTAAATACACAATAATTTTAACCTGTCCTTGTTTCCAAACCAAAGCAAAAAGGAGCCTTTCCAACCTCAGAACAAAATACATCAGTATGGTACCCTGGACTGTGCACCAACGGATGCACCCTGTAATCCTAGTTGGCTTACCCTATTGTTTCATGGAGATAGCAATTCTCACATCTGCTTCAAGAAACAATTAACAGCTGGGCAGTCAGTCACACTGTTTTCCTACAAACACTTCCTCAGAAGTTAGAATCGCTAATCCCAGCCTTGTAAAACTTAAGGCCACGAAACCCTAGCCGACAATTTTTACAACAGTTACTAGTTCCAACCTTTGTTAAATCACCTGTATTCAGTAACACATCTATGAAAGGAAATAAGCTGAGTTTCAGTAGAACCAATCATAAAATCCTTACCAGGAACAGCCACTTAATGCAGCTATTAAACTTAAGATCATACCTTTAACAACAGTCCTGGGAAAAGAGAAAGTGAAATCAGTCACCGCTAAGAATGCATCAGCTTTAGGAATACAATTATCCCTATAGGAAGCTTTCCTTAGGCGAGATTCAGGTTCCACAGACACACCGTAAATGTGCTCTCCTGTGAGCTTCGCTGGGGCACTAGTTTACTAGACTGGCGAGATCTGAATCTGAGGTGACATCCAAGTTAACTACCTCAATGAATAACACAAACTTATTAAATGTGTCCAGGTTTTCAGATATGAAGGTAGTGAGAAGGAAACAGATTATTCCTTTAGTAGTTCAATTTCTTGCACACCTGTTTTTTTGCAGCCTATCCATCTTAGAAGTACCCAAGCTGTACAAAAGACCTTACCTATACCAGTTTCATCAAATTCTTCCACATCTATGACTTGGGGTTGCTGTGGGGGGAACTGCTGGACCTGGAACTGGCGAGGTGGAGCTTTTGCTGTTGGGAAATCTTGATGACTGTAAAAAGACTCAGTCGAAGGTGTTCCTGTTACATCTTGGTATGAAGTCAGAAAGTCTTCTGCAGCTAGCTGAGGAACACTATACGTAACGTGGTGCTGATCCTCTTCTGTGCTCTCTGTACTACTGGTGACATACTGCTGCCTCATTTCAGTGGAACCATAGTCCGCCATAAATGGTTTTGAAGTCATCTTCTGGTCTTGTTGATTGGACTCTAGGCTCTCCAAAACGTTGCTGATCTTGGCAGGCACAATACTGTCAGATGAGCTACCAATCTCGAACACCCAGACACCTTGTTTCCCAGCATTGCTGCTTCTATCAAAGAGAAGCATATGCCAAATCAAAATGATCAAGCACAAGTTGTGTGGTATTTCTAGCCTACACAAAATGTTATCCTTCACTGAGAAATATCAGGACAAAATTGTCAAATTATCTTATCTACATACTTATCTACAGGTACAGTTTATTCAGCTATAAAACACCCCCGACAGTTTGGATAGCATTTTTTCTCCACATCCAGAGTTCTCTTCTTGAGAATTTCTAGCCTTCTTGTCTCCAAAGTGATGGGAACAGAAGGAGATATTTGGGCCACAGATATCTTGCTAACACTTACTAGAACCTTCTAACGCATTCCCTTTCCTTCTTGTTCACTTTTACTGTCAAAAAAAAAGACTGCCCAGGGTAGACTATAAAGAGTTAAAGTCTCAAGTGGTCCTATTTTTAGAAGGGCTAAGTATACAGCAGCTCCTACCAGTGACAATGGAACTATGGACTTTTGACAAGTTATACCAAAGTCCTTATATTCTTCAAGAGGGTGGATATTGATCAGTGGAAGACTTTGCGATTTCTCATGCAACGGCTAATGGGATCTTATTATTTCTCATTGACTCATGCTACAGTTAAGAAAAACATGGAACTCCTTGATGTTTTCTTGAGGAGTTTAAACAAACAAACAAAAAAGCATACTTGTGCAGGTTTCTGATGCTGTCTTCATCATTAGCAATGACATTGTAGGATCCCGGCTTTTCCCAAAAGTAATAGTTTGTAGAGGCTTGACTAAAGCCAACCATAGCAGGAATCTTTCCATCATCATTCTTGGAGTATGTACTATAGAACTGCAAACTATCTTCTGGATAAAGGAAAATAGCATAGGAACCGGAGTCAGAAGAGGCTAAAACAGCCTGGAATGTGTTTCTCTGTGGAAAAAATTTAACATCCATTTACTCACAGAAAAAATGTCAAGATAGACAACAGAATAACATTTTTTTTAAACACAAAGTCAAAATCAGAATTTCCATCATACATAACACATCAGGTACTTCCTAGGAGAAATCAATATTATGCAAGCTTATGTTTTGCTACAGCAGTTTTAGCTTTAGCATGCATAAACACCAAAAAGAAGGCATTATCAAAGGTAAGTTAATCTATTAGGAAATAGCCAGAGAGGCTGCCTAAAACATAACAATTCTCAGTTCTGTAACAGACATAGGATGCTATATCATCTCTTTAAAATAAAAAGAGTGATGTGCTAGACTAAATAGAAAAATTCTGTAAACAGAATATTTAAAGAAGAGTTCAAGTTTCACATTGCTGCAAGTATCTTTTCCTGTAGGAACACTCCTACATACTGTAGGAACCATCACGACAGTACCTCAGACATCAGCTATTCGTTGCTACCAGAGTGCAGAATCATTACTGTGAACACAATGGTTGCGTCAAGTTAGGCACAAGAAATTAATCTTTGATGAAATAAGATTTGATAAGTTGTGGTAATGTTCTCAACTTTATACACTGTGAGCAGGCTCATCAGCTGGGATAATTATGGTGCATAAAGTTATGTATCTTTGCAGGATAGTACCTAACATGGTTTAAAAAGGGAAAATGGTTTGCAAGTAATCCAAACAATAACCTCTAACTGCTTCTTCATTCAATACCAGCACAAAGCATGACCTTTTTGTGAATGCAAATGTCATCTGTCCAAGAAGGATTCACAGTCTGAAGTTCCTATTATTCCATATACCTATCAGATTTTAGATAGTTTGATGTCAAAATGATTTAAGAGTGTGTTGAAAAATGCAAGTCAACTGGATTATATTGCACAGATGGAGGGCAGGATATCCTACTATTTCAGTTATTAACACATCACACTTAGCATTCAAAGTAAAAGTTGTCAGGGAATACAAAGAAATCAGCTATGTAGATTCAAGCATTTTCTATTGAATGAATAGAATACTGTAAAATAAAAATCAAGTAAAAATTCTGGAAACTCCTATTTTGCTACAGTCTTTTCAACAACAAAATACGTTCTTAACTGTACAGGATTCATTTAAACACAAAGGAATTCAAGCCTTCAAAACAACAGGTTATGGTGTTACACTTCAGCTGAACACGTGTCCAACGTGTCTTAAAGCTCTGATTAACATTCACCTTTTCTTCCAAAGCATGATCTGCTCCCGGTGCCTGGTAAGGAGCCACGAGCTTCCAGGTAACAATGACAACACTGCTGGGATCAAAAGTAGTCTCAGGAAAACCTCTTTTTATATAGTCTGACGCAAGTTGCAAGACATCTGAGGATGAATCTTCTCTGTAATACACATTTCCACGTCCATCTGTTGTGTCCAGGTCAGCCATAAAAGGAGCAATAGCCCCAAAACTGACTGGGAATTGGCCGAGATATTTTTCTTCACTTGAAGGTTCATTCACTGCGATAATCCCATTAGTGGCAACCTAATAAAAGGGTGGAAATTATAAGACACATGCTGTTCATATGGCTGTCTCCCACACCTATGTGCTTTAGATCATAATATTTTCATTGCATTTCCAAAAGAAATTGAGTCAAAAGTCAGTCTTGTATTTGTAAAGTAACTGAATTTTTTCAAGTTTTTGTATCCCATGTCAGGAGTCCTGGGATTCCAGTTGCCCAAAACCGGAGGTCTACTTTATGGATAGACCAACCCTTTTTTCCAAGATAAAGATTTTAACTATTTAAATTTCAGTGCCTCTTCTAACGAAGATAAACAAACCCACCACATTTACAAGTTTCCAAGTCTTTCTCAGACCAAGATCCAGCTCAATCGCTCCAGGAGTCTGTCAAGAATTGTGTACAGACCCTCCCAGATGACCAAAAGCTCTTCTCACTTTTCACTGTTACTCTCCTCAAGAGCAGTTTCACAACAGCATGACTGGGGATGGTAAGGATGAAGCAAGCATCTGCAACAGTTACTTTTTTGGTTAACCAGAGAGCTAGATTCTTACCTGGTGTAAAGCAGAGCGGACTACAGAGAAGCTGTATCAAAGTCATAGCATACCCCCTGTGAATCTGGACTTCTACCATGAAGGCAGAGTAGGATGCTTAATCTGGACAGTTTAGAAAGCTGCCCGTTCCTAAGAAAGTCTGCTGACAATGGGAAGAAAAAAAAAA